GTTGATGATCAGGCTCATAAGCTGAGCGATCTCAGCCTGGAAGGCGAAGGTCTCAGGGTCTTCGGACATGGTAGCGGAGAGGGACGTCAATAGTAACTGACTTGTGGCTCTTTGCTTAAGCAGAGGATTTAGAATATTCCAGACCGTAATTGCTCATATTAACCAATCGAAACGTCGTTTTGGATTGACGCCTGTTCTAGAACATTCCACTTGGTTGTGATTGGTGCAGACTCCTAGTCAATGAGGTCAGCCTGGCTGTCGTTTTGGCGGTCTGTGGTTCGCTAGTGACACCGGAGTTGGAATTCCCGGACGCACTGCCCTGTCCGGGACTGTCTATTGGTCGTTATCATTGTCAGCCGAGTTAGAACCTGTTAGTCCTGTTAGAACCTTCACTTGTGTTGTCGTTTAGTTGTGCTGGATTTCCCACTGCTGGCCAAAATGTTTGATCATTCACCCTTTTTAGTACGTCTTTGTGTGGTGTCCATGCTGCAAGCGGGAACCGCATACACCTCGGTCACCTCTAAACCTGATTTTCGGCTGTTCTAACGGATCAAACGCCTGCAACAGTGGCTCCTAGCAAAGGAATAGCAAGTGTCATCAATAGCATAATAGACGCCGACAACCTCAGCTGCAGGGAAAGGGGGAAAAGCATTAGTCTAGTTGTCGTGCTTATTGTGAATCCATGAGGTTTGTGCGGAGTGGACTCCCACTGGTTCATTGGCGCTGAGAGTCCTGGTCGGTTCAGTAGGCGGTCTTGACTGCTATCATCTCACGCTCTGCCACCCTATGCTTTTAGATTCAATATCTTCTGTGACCTGAAAACTTTGGTTTGTGGTAACGAGAGGCAGGCTGGCTGCTCTGGAGTGCTGGTTTTGGGCAGTGGCGTGAAAATCTTATGCATCTGCTTCGTCCCTCGTGCATCCATCGCCATCACATTTCTCAAAGGGCGTTCCTTTGCATACGCGGTCAATAACTGCTGCAGCACTCTTAGTCACTGCCCGACTCTCTTTTCTGCCAAAGATTTCTTAGCTGCTTCTGTACTTTACACCCCATAGGTTGACTTTCGTACCAGTTTTCCCATTCTGTCATGACTTTACTTGCTATTAGGCGCAGTTTAGTTACGTTTTTTTTACTGTCTTGTCGTCGTTTCTGGCCTATAGCATGGCGCTGTGCTAAGCTTGTTCCAATGCTCAACTTGAATTTAAGTCCGTCCAGATGCGTTTGCAGAACGGCCTTGAGATTAGTGGAGAAATTTACTAAAGGCCCCAGCCTACAACCTCAGTTAGCATTTGGAGACTTGACTCCAACATTTGTTGCCATGGCCTTGCCTATGTATTTGGTGACCTACTGTTTTTCACAGTATGTCACAGTTCTGTGCGGAAGTGCACTCGGTCACTCAGCCAGTCAGTTTCCTCTACAGACGATGAGTCATTACCGTGTTCTTGTCCTAATCATCTAATCGATCAAATGCCCAAAAGGTTGTTTACTGAGTACCTATTCAGATACATGTACTACATGCACGTGTACATCACTCGGATGGTCAGGGGGGTAAGACACGAGGAAAGCCCCCCCCCACCCCATGCACTGGGTTTCAGGAAGGGGACCCATCTCCGTGTCCTAACCCTAACTTCCACGATATTTGGCCTAAGACCACCTGTGTTACTAAGGCGGCTTCTATTCCCGCGTCCTACCTGGCCGGAGGAGTGAATTCACCCAATGCTTGTGGACACCTATCGTCAATTACACCGATCTCTTAGACGTCGTACAACTTGTGGAGCTACATTTATGCTCCATAAAACTGTGCGTGTCGAATACCTTGCGCTGTTCAGCGCTTTCCACCACTAACTATGATTTCGGTCTGCCTTCCTAGGGCTATCCTTCGGACTCAACTCTATTTGCCGGGATATATGTCAGTACTTGTAGGCATACAACGAGCGGCAGTTCCCTAAAATTATCGGAACCCCTTTCTACTACTTCGTACCTCCAACGCTTGTGTTACTCGTTCTCGATAACTCTCAGAGAATAGCAAGTGCGTTTGCCCACTAACTTGGTTTTGTAGAGCTGCAGCAACAAAAACAGAATGCTTTGATGTAACGTTGAAACTTTATTTAAGACACAGATTTAGGGCACATATTTTTCGCAACAATGAGCCCAGATGCGAGCTCAGACGAGGAGTACAAAAATGTTGTTCTACAGTTCCTGGGTGTATTCAGAGTTCCAATCGCGGTAGAAAATGTCGGTCAGCTGTTCGCGAAGGGGAGGACTCGTACTGCTCTGGTTTTTTTCCTCTTCCGCGACAAAAGCCGCTCCTCCTGTGCGATAGAAGTAGTCCCCGGACCAATTAGAGGTACCTGGGACATAAGGGAGTATTATTATTTGGATGGACGTTGGTATCTTACTTTTTGATGAATTACTACAGACCAGAATGGCCCGACTCCCAACTGCATTGCTTCTGTTTACCTCCCTTACTTATTCTGCAGTAACAATTGCTTTTATTGATGTTGCTTTAGCTAGTACTACTACTACTACTACTACTACTACTACTACTACTACTACTACTACTGCTGCTGCTGCTGCTGCTGCTGCTGCTGCTGCTGCTGCTGCTGCTGCTGCTGCTGCTGCCGCTGCTGCTGCGACACGTGTGTACACGTTCCGTTATATAAGGTGCATTTAGGACATCGCGTTCTTTGTCAGCCTAGAGAATGCTCAAGTATTTGTCTATAATCGTACAGTTAGACGCAGTCAATATAGGAAGGGTGCATAGATAGCTTGTAAAATTTGGCTTTCGATGTGCTAATCGATCACCGTGGTTCGCAGTGAGAGGTGATATTTTCCTCAGAAAAAAAATTGCGTAGGTGCAAAAAAGGTATTGAGAGACATGGAGTGTAGAGAAATGCAATGCTCAGGTATCAACTTCACAGTGGATGAGCTTTGTATGGAGTGTGAAGTGTCCAACAGCGAATATGATTATTCATCTTCGAAGGCGAAGGTCCAGTGCACAGCACTGCGAACTGTCCAAGTTCAAGAAGCTGAGCGCAGTCTGTCATTGAATGACCATAGAAAGCACAAAAGAGGGTAATTCAAGTTTGACACGATCTTACCACGACCGAAGGTTACCTAAACAAAGTAATCACTTGATTCGACTCGGGGTTTTGTCAAGCTGGCATCCTCGGTGGGTCAGAAAACGAGTTGAAAGTGGTTATTGTGCTTCTTCACAAGGGCCGGTCCACCCGTCTCAGAATGAGCGCATTAAAAGAACCTAACCATGGCGCTCCGTATTGACCAAGAAGCCTACGAAATTCGCGGCATCGACATATATGGCAAAGTTAACAGAGGCAGTTATGCTGCTGTTCTACAAACCAGCTGCCCACGTCCAATCGCTCGTCCCAGCCCGAAGTGTGCCTACATGTGACCTTGCCAATTGATTGCCCCGATAACTGAAATTTCTCGTTGTCAGTTCGTAACTCAACCAAAGGACATTCTATGACGTCATTTCATGTCACGCCAGCCGTCAAACAAACCATGATCCCCTCGTTGGTGACTTTCGCGGCACCGACCTCGCTCTCTCTTTCAACACCAATCGTTCACCAGTGAAACAGTAGGCTCAGATGACGGATGACCGGCGTGTCCACGAACCAAATCCCACTCCCTTAAAGACAGGGCCGGAAACAGTTTCCTTCGGACCACAGTTGGCAGTTATTCCGATCTGATTGTCTGTCCTGGGAACTTAGTAATCCCTCGGGTTGGCATGCAAGATCTTATTATGTTGGGAAAGGCTCGCATGGGGCCAGTCTCACTCTCTTCCCACCGTCATCATCTACCTGCAGCAAGAATGATTTCGGCAGACCAGACACTGGGTCGGGTGTAGGGGCTGGCCGGATATAGCTCCCCACCTCTTGGATGTCGTACACACTTGCTGTTCGTTCAACTGACCCAAAGCAGACATCATTCAGAAAGCTGTCTGACAACGGTGTTTGGCACCTGCTGAGCTCTCGCACTACAAAATACGCATGTATGCCACCCGAATAGGTTCAACAGGACAGTGTAGCTCATGCTCCAGACGGAAGTAACATAATTGAAAAGTCAATTTGGCAAACACGTGTTTTCGGTAACTCCTCGTCAGGCCAAAACGGTTACATAGAAGTTTAAGTTATGCGAAGTTACATGACTTATAAGTGTGATTCGGGGACAATTAACATCCATTGTTCCCACGCCACTCGCATGACGAGGCGTGCTATGGCGTGGTCGGGGTGTCGTAGTCATTGGGTCAAGGGGGCGAGGGAGAGGGGAACATAGGCTGCGAGGACAGGGAGTGACCGATCTCAAGAAATGTTGGCTGAAATTCTGAAATGCATTTTCGATTAGGAAGGATTACTTGGTCGCGGTTGTAATACTGATTATCTTGCGGCATAATCCTATAATATTTCGGACTCGTCAGGATGTCAGCTTTTGAATACACCGCTTTTTAATCTCCCGTAGAAAATGTACTTGGTAAACAATGACTGCTTTAGTAGCATGCATTTTTCTCATTGATTTTCGATGGTCTTCCAAATTCAAATATATCTTATAGAAACCATAAACAAAAGTATGCTTTCTTCCAGTCAATTAATAGAGAATCACGTCATCTTTATATCTTATACTCGAAGAAGAAATATAAGTAGGTTTTAAAAATTTTCTTATTATGAGATTTTTTAAGACCGCGCAATGTCCATTCACATAGCATCGTACCTGGCCGTTTACTGCAGCTCCTCATGAAATGTACAACATAATCCGCATGCATTGTAAAATTTTATGGGCTCTGTATGATATCTTTTTAATGGCATAGAAAAATATGTGATTTTCTTTAGATGGAACGCATGCACCTTTTAGACTGAAACCACTGAGCGCTAATGCAATGAATGAGCAGAATCCAAATGATTCGGCAATTAGAAAACTTTTTAAAAACCTAATTATACTCCTTCCTTTAGTTCAAAATATAAAGAAGACGTGATTCTCTATTAATTGACTGGAAGAAAGCATACTTTTGTTTATGGTTTCCATAGGATATATTTGAATTTGGAAGACCATCGAAAATCACTGAGAAAAATGCATGCTACTAAAGTAGTCATTGTGTACCAAGTAAATTTTCTACGGGAGATTAAAAAGCGGTGTATTCAAAAGCTGACATCCTGACGAGTCCGAAATATTATAGGATTATGCCGCAAGATAATTGGACGAGAACGGTGCTTTCTACGCTTTCTGACGCTGATCAGATAATCAGTATTACAACCGCGACCAAGTAATCCTTCCTAATCGAAAATGCATTTCAGAATTTCAGCCAACATTTAATGAGATCGGTCACTCGTTGTAGGCCTACCAGTCCATAGCACGATAGAGAAGTCATCTCGGTAACTTGGAGTAGTAGCACTCGAAACAGGGGTAATCCAAGGGCATGACTGGACTTTCCGACGGCAAGTGATGGGTCAATAGCCCCCATTCCCAACTGTTAGCCATCGTTTATGCACTTTAATGTCCTTGTGAGAAGCGGCCAACAGAGTTGGAGGAGCAGGTCGGTGGTCGAACAGAGGACGCACACAGCCACCACCAGCTGAAGTTGAGGTGGTTAAACCCGAGGTCACGGATGTCTAACTCGTGCTGTCAAGACGAGATAATTTTGACGCAGTTGGTATGCTGGTCCGGAATAACAAACACATGGAAAATCTGATGCGGGTGTGGCCACGGCAAGGTGGAAGCAGGAACGGTGGCTTACGTGTGAATTCGTTTATAATGGTAGTAGACTTGCGCAACATCTAGCACACTGTGTCCTCCTCCTCCTCCTCCTCCTCCTCCTCCTCCTCCTCCTCCTCCTCCTCCTGGGTACGGTGTGAAGATGACCGGAGGCGGGAGAGGCCGCAGGTGGCTGGCACACCGAAATCCCACACTCAGGCGTAGCACCACACCCCCTGACCCACAACGTACACTGGCCAGGATTCTACACACTAAGAGAAGAAGGGGCGGCTCAGACCCCAACTGACGCGGTGCGAGCCTGCGCCTGGAAGTGCTGCCACAACCGAATTGTTGGCACTTTTTATGGGTGCGTTGGACCCATATCTAACCCCTGTGTTCGTTCAGCGTACCCACCGGGTGGCCTGTTGGAGGGACATACGACTTGACATCATTACCTCACAAAAGGATAGAGTCGGGGAACATAGACAAGGAGAACGAGGGTGGCGTCGACCACGTTCGGACAGAGACACATGACTGACTAACTGACGGCATTGGTGAGCAACGTGAAAGACCCGCGAGCCGTACCAGACGAGCAGTGCAGAGGACCCGCCATTCTCTGAAGATGGGTGGCCCAAGTCGCTGCTTGAAGCGTCAGACCGCGGACGTAGTTAATCGGCTTTTGTCCAAGCATCCGAAGAACTACTAATGCGGCTAATCAGTGATGAGCGACTTATCGATCGGCGTCAAGGCAACTGCACTCGTTCCTCCTATCAGGTGTCGCGCATCGGCAACCAATTCACCCCTGCTCCGTCGGCGTCACCAATTCTGCTGACGAGTTCTCATGGTAAACTTATTCACGTGACCTGGAGACGCGCACGGCAGACACACATGCCGCTAGAGGGCATTTGAGGTCAGGAGAATGCCTCGTTGTGAAGAGTGCAGGCTATCCTTTCAGCCTCATCTTCCTAAATTATAACCTGGCGCAATCACAGGCCCAATTACATGGAAAGGCGGCACCAACCAACAAAATTACCGATATGCATGCGCGCAGTTTCTGTTTTCGGACGTTTTGGGCGAATATAAGGCTGCCCTATATAACTGAAATCTACTGGGCACCCAAGAATGACGTGTCTTTCTTCGACTTTCTGAGGCTCCATGGCATAACTGCGAGCAGTTCGGTACACCGGTGTATGCCTCAGCTACTTCCGTGGGATTTCTTGTGCAAGTCCAGTTAGTAAATTGCGGTTTACAGTGTCATCAGAAATTCACCAGCAAGAATCAAAGGAATGAACAAAATAAGTTTTCCTGGAGCTCATTAGCAGGTGTGGCTTTGACCCGAACTTCCCCTGATGAACACCAAGCTTGTAACGGAAAATTTAGTAAATCGTCTTTGGATTCGTCAAAAAATTCTCTTGACCATGGTAGTCATAAACATCAAAAAATATGCTGAATAACTGATGTGGTGTGCATTCCGGGGTGATATAATGAAAAAAAAGAAGGCTCTTCGGAATATCGAGTTGTACTCGTAAATTTTCAAGTCGGTGACACCGACCCGTCGTCAGACGAAATGAACAGAGGGGACTTCTCTTTTTCATCAAAAAATATGTTTGAGACAGCTGTGAAGTTGAAAGAGATCAAATGTCCGGTCTTTGTTATGGCTAGAAAACGATCCGCTAGGGAGACTGAATTTCCTGCTGGAAAATCGGGACGAGTAAGGTACTTACTACAAACCACGAAGACTATCTCTAAATCAGATGCTTGATAACGATGGGATGTACGACCCCCAAGTAGATGGCAACTCAAAAATATACCCTAAAATTCAGTGTGACTGTAAACATCACTTATTATTCACCGTTCCCATTGCTTGAACTTTCCTGCCCTTCCCGACCAAATACAACCTTATCAGCGGAGCTTTATTCAAAGTTCGTCATTTTTTGGCAATTGTTTTTTGTTTGTTTTTTTAGTTAT